ATTGTGATAAGAGATGTAAAAGCCCCCCAATAAAAGTATTTAATAAAAAATAAAAATAAAAAAGACGGCCCAGAACTGAATTTGCTTACATGCACTCACTGTGAAATATAATCAGTAGAGAGGGAAAGACTGAAGATTTAGAAGGATGGGTCATAATCGATGGTACAATCCCCAGGGAATTGAAAAACTACTCAAATAGCTATGTTGTTGTTGTTGTTAGCTCCTACTCATAATGACCGTATCTATACCCACCAGAGTGAAACACTGCATGGCCCTGTGCCATGCTCACAATTGCTCCGATGCTTGAGCCCATTGATGCAACAACCTAGTCAATCCATCCTCATTGAGGGCCTTCCTCTTTGTCACTGCCCTTCTATTCCACTTGAACGAACATGCTGTCCTTCTCCAGAAACTAGTCTCTCCTGACAACATGTCCAAAGTGTGTAAGACGACGTCTTGCCATCTTGGCTTCTAAACACTCTGGCCTTCCTTTTCCCAATACAGATCAGTTTGACTTTTTGGCAGCCATGGTACTGCCAATATTCTTCTCCAGCAGCACAGTTCAAATGCATAGGTTTGGCTGCAGTCTTCCTTATGTGATGTCTAACTTTCGCATGCATAGGATGCAGTGGAGAAGACCACGGCTCGGGTCAGGTGCACTTTAGTCCTTAAAGAAACATCCTTGCTCTTCAATACTGTAACGAGGTCTTGTGCAGCAGGTTTACCCAATGCAATGTCTTTTGATCGCTTGACTGCTGCTTCCATTTGGTGTTAAGGGCTTTATATCCTTTAATGAATTAATCTTCATGATGAGACCAGAACTATTTATATTCCCATTTTACTGATGAGAAGACCAAGACTCGGACAGGTTAGCTCGTTTCCCCAAGTTTACACAGTGTTAGTGGTGCGGTCAGAGCACATATTTACGTAAAGGGTAAACTTTACGTAACTTGGCAGAGAGGCCATCTCATCCCTGGAGGTGAGGGGTGACGGCAGGGAAAAACATCTACAGTTGTAGGTTGGGGTTGGGCTTATGAGTTTAAGGGGATGCCAACTTGAAACCCGGGCCAAACAAGGTTCTCTTGCTCTAGTTCACAGGGGGCCTTTCCACAACCTCAAGGAGGTTGTCTTCCAAGAATGCTGGAGTTAGATGGTAGTGTTGGTAGAGGGTGAGATCTGGAGGGAGTTCAAAGTTGGACAGGGCTGTGGGGAATAAGGCCTCTTTTGGCTTAAATGAGACCCGAACTCCTTGTGTGGTGTGTGTAACCCCTGCTCGCTTCTGGGATACAGGCTCACCCGTTATGCTGACTCCGCCTTTCATGTGTTTCAGAGAAGAAAATAACTACCAGCCTGTCCTTCTCCTATTTTGAGCGAAACCCCCCAGCGAACAGCTTCCTCAGGCTGACTGTCATGGCAACACACTCCCAGACGAGCCTCAGCTGCTTTGCTCAGGAAGACATCGCCATTCGCAGGCCACACCTCGTCATTGAGGTGGGCAAAGTCCTTCCTGAAATGCACTCATTTCTTTCCACTCAAGTCCCCTTTGCAGAGCAATCTGAGCTCCAACCCTTCACCACCACCCCCGGGGGGTGGGGGGTGGGGGGTGGGGGCAAGCTGCAGAGCAGATGACTGGTGCAGAATGAGCACAAATCCAGCTCTGAGGCGTGCTTCATTGAGAGGGTTTCTTATGTATACTGTGAAGGATGAGCCATTCTGACCTCTTTAGTTTGTTTTCTGTGAACTTTCATGGAAACAGGCGGCCTCGTCTTTCTCCTGAACCACCAATCTTGCAGCATTAGCAACCCCATGCTTACACCATAGTATCACCAGGGCTTCTAAGGAACAGTTCTACTCTGTCCTATAGGGTCACCATGAGTAGGAACAGTGGCAGAGACTGGGGTTTTGTTTTGGTTTTGAGTTGATTCAGTATAAGTTTGGAGTGGGAAGTAAAAGTTTCTGAAACCTGGGCCTTCCCAGCTGTTGCCTCCATACTCAGAAAGATACAATTTAGTACTAAGCTTCTTTAGTTCTTAGTACCCACATTAAAAAAATTTTATCTTCTTCATTTAAATTTTTATTTGAAATGAGGTGGGGCTGTTCCCATTATTCAGATCAGATGAGGAAACTGAGTCCTGAAGAGTAGCATGTCCAAGAACATTGAGAGAAAATCGTAGGGACTTATAGCCCTTGGTCCAGCCTTCTTTCCAAATGTCTACCCTGGCCTCTGCCCTCTGCCCTCAAAAGATTGACAAAGGAGCCACAATATCTGGTCTTCTATGTAAGTGCTTTAAAGGAGATATAAAGTCACTAGGGAACTACTGAAGTAAAGGGGACTTAATCCAGCTAGTAGGTTTGGGGAAGACTTCAGACAAGAAGTGGGGCCTTGAAATATGGGTAGGCGTTCAATGGAGAGATAGGAAAAGGCCACACTGCAGGCAGGAGGAGGCTGGACAAAGGTGCCTAAAGGGAGTCTCAGGGTGTGCTGGAAATGGGAAAGTCCTCAACACAGGTGGAATGACAAGCGGAGCTGGAGAGGTGCGCTGGGGGCGGACTGAAGGATGCTGAAAGCCAAGCCAAGGAGGTAGAAGACAATGGCAAACACTCCAAGCTTTCTGAGCAGACAGACACCATTAGGTAGTCATTGATGGGTTCAAATAAATGCAGGAAGAGCTGGTAGTGTGCAGTGGAGTTGGAGCCCCAGTGACAGTGATGCTTCTAGCACCTACTTCAGATTTTGCCTTTACTCACAGATGCCAGAGGCAGCAGAGCAGTACCAACCTCTGAAGGCCTCAGTCAGCATCAGAAACTCCCTGGGCGTTCCCCTGACGGACTGTGTGATCTCCATTCTTGGAAGGGGCCTCATTCACAGAGAGAGGGCCTATCGGTAAGAGACTGCAAACTTCTGCTATTCTAACATTTCAGCTGACCACAAAGGCAAGGAGCCAGGCTTGATGACAGTCTTTTTACATGTCCTCGGAGACAAATACCCCCAAAGTTGAACTAGAAGAATTGAGCTACCCAAATGACCCCATACACCCTGGAGCCACCATGTCTACAGGGAACTAGGGGAGAGGCTGTATGAGTCCCTCAGAAACCACATGGAGTTCTATTCTGACATGCATGGAGTCACCATGAGTTGAAATTAACTCAGCAGCAATTGGTTCAGATGAGTCCAGGAATGGAATTGCTGGGTCATTGATACACTCCGTCAGATTAGTTTGCAAAATGGCTGCAGGAGTCTACACTCCCTCCAGAAGTACAAGGTTTCTTATATTCCTACCTTTCCTCTGCTCTTCTCAATACCAACTTTTCTGGGGTTTTTCACCAGTCTAATAGAAATAAAATAGTATTTCATTATTATTTTAATCTGCAACTCTTGATAATGTATTCATGCTTTTTGTTTCACCTTCTATAGTTTGTTCATAGCCTTTGCCCACTTTTTTTAATGTATCTTTATCTTATTGAACTTATATACTAGGCATTAGTCCCTTGTTCATTTGTTAAAAATTCCTTCTTTTTGGTAAAAGAATACCTTTATTTTCTGAAAGACGTTTCATTTTGAAAACAGAAGTTCCATTCTTAAATAGATGAGTAAGTTACATGAAGAATGGATGACAATTTTTTAAGGAAAAAAAATTAAGATGGTTCGCTGAGAATCTTTTTTCAGTGAATCCAATAGTTTTTGGGGGTTTTTTTTGGTTTACTGCTTTAAAAAAAATCATTTTATTGGGGCTCATACAACTCTTATCACAATCCATACATACATCAATTGTGTAAAGCACACTTATACATTTGTTGCCCCCATCATTCTCAAAATCGCTTTCCGCTTGGGTTCCTGGAATCAGCTCATTTCCCTTTTTCCTTTCCCCCTCCCTCCCCACTCCCCCCTCCCAAATATTTCTTCTTTAAAAAAAAAAATCACACACCAATATTTTGTGTTTTCAGTGAAGTTTTACATCACAGCATAAGTTCCCATTCAATAATTTCTGTATAAGTTGTTCACTGACTACATTTTTCTCAATTTGTGGACATTTTCCTAGTTCCACTCTGGTTGTTCATTTTCCATTAATCTAGTTTCCCTACTCCTGTACATTCTCATCTTTGCTTTGTTGACTGCTTGATCTCATCTAGGTGTGCAAATATCTTCTTCCTTGCTGTCTCCTCTCATCCTGACCCCTATATCCTTCGTCAACATATAGTTTGAAGTTGAAGATGCCTATTTCTACTTTCCCTGATTGTAACAGGTTATTGGGTTATTAAGCCATTACCTCAGTCTCAAGAAACTCAATGAATCACTCTTGCCAGATTGGATGGGCTTGCAACATCCAACCAGAGAATAATAGATTCAATTATAGGACAAAGTCCCCACACAGAAACTTGCATGCACCATTGCCCCCAGTCACCAAAAGATCCAGAGGCAGGCCAGGAGGTTCCTAATAGGACCCTAAATGACATCTCTCACTATGCCCACTGCACCCCTCCACTTAGTTTTGAGGGTTTCAACACAATTGCTTCTCTAAGCAGACCAGAGTACCCAAGCTTGAACCAGAATGATGGCAGAGGCAATGAAAGAAACAGAGAAAGCCTGACGGCCTTCTCATCCTTACAATTGTTGAACAACCTTACAATTGTTCAACCTTACAATTGTTCAACATACAATTGTTGAACCATACAATTGTTCAACAGGCTTTCACTTTCTCCGTTACCAACTATTTCAACAGCAAGGTACTTAGATGTTTCTGCAGAGTTCACCTCTGCTTCAAGCAAGGAGTGATCAGAGTTGCTGAGACCAGCAGAGCTATGACCCTGGGACAAAATTAGCATCTGCTTCTCCTATATTTCAGATTAAGTTCGGTGCGGCCTGGGAACACCTTGAACACCCAGTTCCAGATCACACCAACGAAAGTGGGGCTCCACAGGCTCACTGTGGAAATGGACTGCAACATGTTCCAGAACCTAACCAACTACAAAACTGTGACTGTGGAAGCACCTGTGCCCCCCGCTTAAAAGTTCAGCTGTTTGATCACCCCTCTCCCACCCTTTTATAGCAACAACCTTAAGGTCAAGCACATGCTGGGAAGGGACACTTTCCATCTCAGCTACTCAATCACCTTATTCAGTAACTAAGGCCAAACTAGATCCCCACTCATTTCTGTCACCCAACTTAAGGCAGCTATGAAGACCATATATCTTAGAACAGAAACCACTGGGCTTGACAGTCAGGAAGGAAGCTCTGTCTTGTTTTTGTGCATGTTGTT